CTTACTGGTACTTCCCTCACTACCTTACTGGTACTTCCTTCACTACCTTACTGGTACTTCCTTCACTACCTTACTGGTACTTCCTTCACTGCCTTACTGGTACTTCCTCAACTGCCTTACTGGTACTTCCTTAACTGCCTTACTGGTACTTCCTTCACTACCTTACTGGTACTTCCTTAACTGTCTTACTGGTACTTCCTTAACTGTCTTACTGGTACTTCCTTAACTGCCTTACTGGTACTTCCTCAACTGCCTTACTGGTACTTCCTTAACTGCCTTACTGGTACTTCCTTAACTGCCTTACTGGTACTTCCTTAACTGCCTTACTGGTACTTCCTTCACTGCCTTACTGGTACTTCCTTAACTGCCTTACTGGTACTTCCTTAACTGCCTTACTGGTACTTCCTTAACTGCCTTACTGGTACTTCCTTAACTGCCTTACTGGTACTTCCTTAACTGCCTTACTGGTACTTCCTTAACTGCCTTACTGGTACTTCCTCAACTGCCTTACTGGTACTTCCTTAACTGCCTTACTGGTACTTCCTTAACTGCCTTACTGGTACTTCCTTAACTGCCTTACTGGTACTTCCTTAACTGCCTTACTGGTACTTCCTTAACTGCCTTACTGGTACTTCCTTAACTGCCTTACTGGTACTTCCTTAACTGCCTTACTGGTACTTCCTTAACTGCCTTACTGGTACTTCCTTAACTGCCTTACTGGTACTTCCTTAACTGCCTTACTGGTACTTCCTTAACTGCCTTACTGGTACTTCCTTCACTGCCTTACTGGTACTTCCTTAACTGCCTCACTGGTACTTCCTTCACTGCCTTACTGGTACTTCCTTCACTGTCTTACTGGTACTTCCTTAACTGCCTTACTGGTACTTCCTTAACTGCCTTACTGGTACTTCCTTCACTGCCTTACTGGTACTTCCTTCTCTGCCTTACTGGTACTTCCTTCACTGCCTTACTGGTACTTCCTTAACTGCCTCACTGGTACTTCCTTCACTGCCTTACTGGTACTTCCTTCACTGCCTTACTGGTATTTCCTTAACTGCCTTACTGGTACTTCCTTAACTGCCTTACTGGTACTTCCTTCACTGCCTTACTGGTACTTCCTTCACTGCCTTACTGGTACTTCCTTCACTGCCTTACTGGTACTTCCTTCACTGCCTTACTGGTACTTCCTTCACTGCCTTACTGGTACTTCCTTCACTGCCTTACTGGTACTTCCTTCACTGCCTTACTGGTACTTCCTTCACTGCCTTACTGGTACTTCCTTCACTACCTTACTGGTACTTCCTTCACTACCTTACTGGTACTTCCTTCACTGCCTTACTGGTACTTCCTTCACTACCTTACTGGTACTTCCTTCACTACCTTACTGGTACTTCCTTCACTGCCTTACTGGTACATCCTTCACTGCCTTACTGGTACTTCCTTCACTACCTTACTGGTACTTCCTTCACTACCTTACTGGTACTTCCTTCACTACCTTACTGGTACTTCCTTCACTACCTTACTGGTACTTCCTTCACTGCCTTACTGGTACTTCCTTCACTGCCTTAATGGTACTTCCTTCACTGCCTGATTGGTATGTCAGTCTCGTTACAACTGTTGTCAAAGTTCTTGTATCATTCAATAGGTCTCTGGGTCCTAGTGGATTATTTCGTGGAAGCGAGAATCTTAAGGACACAATCTTACCGGTAAGAATGAAAAATAATAATAATCTTTCTTGTACAAGTACATGGAACTAGTTATGCCGTCGTAGCTGACATTAATGACACATTACAGTAGGACCCATCTTTACCGAGCTTTGTTAATAGAAACATGTAACATTTAACCAAAAATTCGTTTATGCGGTTCCTGTTTCACTAATATGGTTCTGACTGGAAACTTTCCAAATTTTCAAGCGTTTTAAAGTTATTACGTATGTTATACTATTTTTGTGTTACAATGGCATCTAAGGGTAGTTGTGATAACAAGAGAGTCGTAAGTGCTAAGTTACAAAGTAGGAGCTACGGTAGGTGAGGTAGTAGGTAAGAGTGTTTCACTTGTGTTCAAGATGCAATAACACAGGAAGAATGTTGGTCTGGAGTACTAGGAATGTCGCATATTTATGCTATCATACACATTTTCAATAATCCATCTATGACAAGTTTTGGAAAATTATATAAACACGGCCATTTTCGCTTTACAGCGACAGCCTGGAACCTAACCAGCTGTATAATCGAGACAGGGACAGCTGGTGTCTTAAAGCGACAGCCTGGAACCTAACCAGCTGTGTAATCGAGACAGGGACAGCTGGTGTCTTAAGAAAACTCGCGTAATGTTTCCTCCCATACTGGGCATCAAACCACAGACACTCAGTGTGTCAGCTAAGTGCGCTACCAACCGAGCAACGGACACACTGCTTGGGTTATCCTGGGTTATTAACATAGTTATTCAAAAAGAAGTCCGAATTTCTTCTACATTTAACATGTTAATTTTATTCTTTCAGCCTGGACCTTTCAAGTTGTTCGTTGCCTCGGATACGAAGAGTGATGAATACGGCTCCTACTACGTCATGCAGTTGGTGAGCACTATTGCTTTATATGTTCTCTGGAATATACAGGCCAAGAGCTGCTAGAACAAGACGTTGCCTGCCAAATGTTACAATGTTTACAAAAAAATTCACATAAGTAAATTTTTATGTAGGTTTTTGTGTACACAACATGCAGTATTTTTTATAATGGTGTTGAGGGGGCGATAGGTACTATGGGCACACAAAAAGCACACACTGTTGGACTTGATCAATGTAACTCAGTATGTCCAGCACTGTGACTTGCTTCCAATGGCGTCCCCAGCGAAAGGTTTTAAATACACATTATGGTTTTCCTGGCGCACTTCACCACACCGGATGGTTGTCATATCA